CCCCAAAACCCCAAAACCCCAAAACCCCAAAACCCCTAGATTTTGTAAGATATTGAACTCTTAGTTGTTAAAAATATTATTTATCTTCTTTCTTAACTTTGTCGATCATAAGGAATACTTTGAGATTATAACTGGCTTCTTTTCAACTATAGATTTCCCTAGAAGTCCTAAATTCTCTCCTATAGAGGTATGCTCATATGAATTCTCTCTTGAACCGAGCATCTCAAAACTCTTCAGATTATTTATCGGCCTATAAAAAAGATCAACTCAAGCTCCAAAGAACTGCATCTTACGGTTGTCTAAACATAAACATCTTAACATCAGCACAAATCCCTGGCTTGTCCATCACCCTGCACGCTTCTTTACTCTGCTTATTTCAACAAAATACTACTCTCATGCTCAACTCTCTTATCTATAATCTTCGCTAGCCTGATCTTTTTATTCTGGAACTTAGCATATTCCTCTAATTCTTCACTTGTCTTTGGAACTTTGGCGTACAGATCTCTAAAGCCAAAGCCCAAATCTGCTCTCTTAATCTTGAGTTTAGTACTATCTCTGTAGGAAGAAGCCAGGATTTCACTGTGAGGGCTTGACTTGTCAGTAATGGTCTTTAGCTTGTGGGATTTTTGAGGAGGCGAAGTTTTGCGCTGTGTGGTGAAATTGGGGTTGAGCAAGGTGTCTAGAGGTCAGAGGAGGTGTACTTGTGGGTGCTCTCTGGGTGCTTTTGGATCTGGTGGTGTGGTGGTGTATGTCTTGCACGGATTTTACTTGTTTGATATTTTTAGTGGGCTTGGAGAAGTAAATTGAGGCTTTGGAGTTTTTGCGGTTGTAGAGATCGATGTTGACGATTTTCTTGAGTTGAGAGTTTTGGGTCTTGTTGTGGTCTCCGGAGATGGTGATGTTGATTGGGAGTTTTTCTTTAGGATTTGAGTTTAGACGAGGGAGGCATCTGATGCTGTGTGCGTTTCTGGTCTTATTTTGACATATTAATTTTTATTTTGCTTTTGTCTTGACTCGTACCTTCGTCGGTCATTAAAGGATTGACCTTTTTATGAGGAGATAACTTTCTTTGTTCAGGTTCAATGTTATTGTATACTGATCTTGCAGAAACAGAGACATCACATCTATTTTGAAGCTAATCTTTTCTTAACCAATGAATTATATTCAGAAACATTAGAGTTAATATTCCTCGATGTACTACGATTAGTTAATATTTCTACGAATTATCATAAACCGTCCTACTTTTATTACTCCTCATCCTCTTTTTAACCCCTATATCCTGTCCATGCTCCTTTGGTGTCAACAAATACGCAGACTTCATACACGACCTAGCTCTCTTCCCCTCATTATTCCTACACGAACTGGCCAAATACTCAGTCTTTACCCCTTCCTCATCCTCCAAGTCCTGATACTCCTGCTTCGGTTTCTTCAGTACCAAATTAATCTTCATTTTATTCCTCTTCTTCCTCTCAGGTTCTCCCTCTCTTCACAAGACTGTCCCTTTCTGCTTCTTATTCTGCTGCGTGACTTGTTTTATGAGTACTATAATGGCTGAGATAATTGTGCTTGGGTGTTAAGAGCTGCCATGGGAGCGAGGAGGTGTAGGGATGGAGGGGATTAGGGAAGGGAAATGGACTGGGAAAGCTTACTGGGATTGTATTGTTTATTTGGAGGGTGAATTTTGGTTTTGAGTAAGCTTGACGAGTGTTTTGGGATACCTGGAGGATGGATAGTTGGGATATGAGTAGAATGAGCTTTTTGGGAGGGAAGAGTTGATATTAAGGTTTTAGGGAAGAAAGAGTACAAATTTATCTTTTGTTAGAGTTTAAGAAATTATTTTTGGCAAACTCTATTTAAAGACAATAGAGACTTACATAAGATTAAAGAAAGACAAAGATAGCCAATTAATAACTTACCTTCTTTACAAGCTTTAGAGGAATATTTGATACCATCTCTGTTATTTTAGATAAGAATTCACATTACGGATGTGATCCATAGTGGCTAAAAAATATTTAAATAAAAATACAAAAATCTAACTAACAAAACACATCAAAACCACCCAAAATTCAAACCCTCCACACAAAAACCCCCATCGCACCCCAAAATCGTACCTCTACTAATCCTAAACTTCCTTTTCATAACTTTCACATCCTCCCAATCTGCCATTTTCTTCCTAATAATATTCCAATTCCTCCAAATACAATCGGGGTTTTGGGGTTTTGGGGTTTTGGGG